CCCAGCAATCCCTTTGACGAAGCCTTCTCCCACAAGATCATGATGCACATGAAAACTGTACTAATGAAGAGTAAGGGCTTGGGCTCTGTAGTCAGACCAACTCAGGGGTCAGCATGGGTTCTTTCATTAATAGCTATGTGACCCTGAGCAAGTTAATGAATGCCCCCTGAGTCTTTTTTTCTGAATCTGTAAAAATGAGATGATGGTACCTGCCTTGAAGAAGCTTGAGGAGAAAATGAGATGTCATATAGTAAAGTGCCTGGCACATAGTAGGTGCTGAAAAAATGCTATTCTTTGGTCTCATTCAGGAACATGACATTAAAATCGGGAACATAATTTTCACAATTTAGCTTTTGCACAATGTGCTATGTCTCCAACTAAACAGCTGTTATCAAGACTATAGCTTTTGATTCAGAAAAACATGCATGTAGCCATTGTTTAACCCTCTTAATTGTATTTTGCACTACTAGGTTTATAGCTTTAAAGTAATACTTACTATTTACATGAGAGAGTATGAATCACATTGTTACCAATACATCTGCTATGAATTGATGTGAAACACCCAGTATGCAAAGGTAATGTCAAGTTCAGTACTACCGGAATGTATTCTATAAACGCTGCCTCACTGTGCAAGCCCTTCTTTAGATTCATGATATAGTTCCCAAATGGATATTTGAAAATGCATTTTCAAATTACAATTTTGAAGGAAAAGGCTATTTTTTCCACAAAACAGACTTTTAGTTATAACGATTCTTTTGAGGCATCTAGGATTCCTCACTCACAGCACAGCTATATTATATAGCCTCCGACTGCCTAAGCTCCAGTGTGGAATGGTGGAAATGGCAAGATTCAATGATAAATCTGAATTCAGGTGTAACTTTCTCCACCTACTGCCATGATGAAACCTCAATGGGGCCCAGTATCAAAAATTATAAAAATGGAGGTAACGTCTTAAATATCTTCGAGAGATGTGGTTAGAATCCTCTAAAATATATCACGGGGAAGTGCTTAGTAAACCATCAAGCACTATACAACTGTAAGATCGTCATGTGACTTGTGCATGATCACAGAATGGTGGCTTTATGCTGGAAGGAAGTGCAGAACAATTTAGGTCTTCTGAAAACCTTATGTTGCTCTTTACCCTGCTCAACACTGACCACATTTACACCCAATGACAAAAATCTATGAAAGGTATTGAACAAGTTTACCTGAATAAATTCAATTAAAAAAATATATGTAAGGATTCTCACACAACTCTCCAAGATCCATTTGCTCAGGGTAGAATGCCAGAGTTAGCGATGTTTCTTCTGCTGCAACATCCAATATTTGCCAAATATCGCCTTTGTCCTACACTGATAAAATTCTCCATTTATTGGTGTTGCAATTGTTTTCCAGGTTTGCAACAGCTCTGCCCACCCCACCCCCCTGCCTGACTTCTCACGTGCTCTCACTCAAGGCTTTCTTATAGCTCTACTTAACTTATAATGAAGTGATGTTAATATTTTAACAACTAAAAGTGTTTTTTCCTTATAAATACTAGACATTACAATTGATCAGTGCCCAATCATAGAATAATTATACTTTTGTGGTACAAATACACTGCTTTAAAAATATGCAATATAGAAAATTCACAGGAAAACATGACATGAAAAAACTGACAGCATGAAATTATCACAAGGCTAATTTATATAAAAATTAAGTGGAGGTTAAAAGGTTATTAACAAGAAGATATTTAAAACTAGTAAGTTATTACTGTGAACAATAAAACATCTACAGAGTGCAATGATAAGAACACAGATGTTAAGAATACAGTTGACCAATTTCATTGTTCTACCAATCATAACCAAACTTCTAAAGAAAACAGCAATCTTAACATGGTTATTCTTGAAAAGTTAATGTCAAAACATAAATTCCTATGTTGTAGTCAACACATCTGTGACTTCCATCAGTTAATTTATATTTTGAGAGACACAAAATAATTTAGGATATCTGGGATTTTAAAGTGCTAACCTAGTCTTTTTACTTCCTGTTTTTGTTTTTAAATTGAAAAGAATCACAACTGTTAGCATTTAAACTATGTATTTTTTCCATGCTGACATTATATTGTTTCACTGTACAAGAACACTCCACACCATTCCATCATCCTTATTCAGGAGTAAAATTTGAGGGTCAGTAGTCTTATAATTAACTTCTCCAGTTTCATCAAAATGCCCCTAAAATTACAGAAGCTTTGAAATGCCAAGACAGCTTTTTTCCAAATATTAAATAAGATAAAAATGTTAAGGAATCCCTAGTTTTTATCTCCGAGATACATACTGATTTTAATTAAAGGCAAATTACCTCTATTTAGCTGAAATATGCATTCTATAATTTTGATAGAAAAATGTACAATAGAATGTTTGCCAGGTAAAGAATAGATTTCAAAAAATACTCTGTGATCATTTGAAAATGTCAGTTATCTGATATAAAGAAGCTCACTTGCATTGGTAAGTAGTAAGTACCTTGGAATGCTTTAAACAGGATGAAACAATCTACCAAAACACATACTATTTCCTAGTCTTTATGCACATATTGTAGCATGAAATCATGATGCTTTTGAAATACTCTGTGCAGAAATATTTATTTTTTAGCAAATATTTTCCTCAAAGATTGGTATGTGGTATTGACAGTGTAATCTACTTGCACAATAGTTTTGCAATAACCTACAAATAACTGTAAATACAAAAAATGTAAATTTCATGTAAAAATTATTGCACATTTTTGGTAGCTAAGTGTACAAGTTGTATTGAACTTATAGCATATATACATAATTTAAGAAAGAAGCATATAATTTCTCATCTATTTATACATGAAAATTCAAGGATTTGTAAAAGAAATTATTCGGGGGGAAAAGAAAGTAAACCTCAATAGCTAGTTAGGACACTTTCATTGGCGAAGGCAACTGTTTCCAACATCTTCCTAGGCACAGTACTAGACTTGGGTGTGGGGGTGCTGATGGGTTTCACAAAGTCACATAATCGTAACAGTGCATCCAAGGTTTTACTGAGTCCCACTAGGAGACAAGTAAACTGAGTGGTAAAAGCATTATATAGAACATTAAAGAAATAAAAACATTTTGTTTTTATTACTGCCTATCAAAAACACAATAGTAATTTACTAAAACATTCGATTATTTAAAGATTCTGATGGCTAAAGAAGATTGAATTTGTATGTGAAACAAAATTTTTACAATTGATATGCATGATTCACTTTTTTCATGAAGAAAATATCCAGATAACACTATTTTCATTTACCTAAGTTTCATACATTCTTAATTTGCCCCTAGAATCGTTAATCTATTATATAAGAAAAAAAATCAAACTTAAAGAAAAGCTTTTAAAGAATATGTGTTGGTCATGTTGTGGAAATTTTCTAAGACTGTTCAGTGGTTTAGATCTCCCACCATTCGTTTTTAAGATTTAAAAATCCAAGAGAACATCTCCCTACCTGATAAATGAAAAACTAAACCAAATACAGATTAGTAGAGCATACTAGATTGATATCTATAGTAATGCTGATTAGAAAATGAGACTCAAAGTATGAAAAAGCTTAGTATTTAAAAACTTACAATCTCTTAAATTTGGAAGTATTGCATAGAGATAGCTCTGGGAAATGAAATATGCATCCAAAAGTTCAGCTAATCATAAAATGATTTTTAAATGGCCTATAATTTTTTCAAAGAATATGGGTCTTTAGTTAGTATGTTTCTAGAACAATCACATGAGCACAGCTCGGGTTCTCCTTTGAAATTTCAGTAATCAGAGCAAGATAAAATGAGATTAAATACAGCCAACTAAAATGCAAATGGCTATAGGTATGTATCTATAAAGTATTTATTTTTATGCTTAAAAGGTTGGACACCCCCACACCCTCCCCGCCCCCTAGACGCACACACCCTCAGTGTTATCCGAAAGTACTGATTCCTGGCATATTCAATGACAACCTAGCCCAATTCTTCTCATTCCCTGTAATCTTTCCAAATTCCCCACCTTCTCTGATGCTGCAGAAGGGGTACAACTTAAAACAATAGGTACTACCTAAGCAAGGACCTCCTCATTCCCTAACTCAATGCACATCATAGTTATGTATTAGTGCTGCCAATGTCTACTTACTATCTATTCAGACGTAAAGCACATCTGAGTTTTGAATGCTCGCAAATACACAAAACTGCACATTACCAAGCTACTTGGGTAAAAGGAATGTAGAGTAATACAAGGCTCTTCTTTTATATGCCAGTAAAATATCTTTTTTAAAAAAACAAGTAGAAAACAGACATGGCAAGAAACAATCAAAAGCACAAGATTTCCAAGTATTCAAGTAACAAGCTGATAGTCAGAGAGAACTTTTTAATAAGATTCCCAGTGTTTTGCTGCAAATTTTGTGCTCAGTATTCTACATTACTGGACAACTTTAATATATGTACGTATGTGACATTATGACCTTATTCTAGATCACAAATATCTCAACACTATTCAGTTAAAATCCTTTCTGCATTCATCACTGTAACAGTTGAAAATGGGGTTTTTTTGCATCACTTGATACTATTATGAAGCCGAGGCATACTCTTAGATACCTTAACATTGTACATTAATTTCAAAATGCTTAATTTACCATGTACATGACTGAATTGAGGCCAAAAGAATTGTGACCTTTTACTAAAATTTTTAAAGTAATAAAACATCATGGTTGCATTATAAAATTTAAGGAAAAAATACGCTAACCTGAAAATGTTGGATTTTACTTACTAGATTTAATTTACCAGATTTTTCGAAAATTTATTCCTATTCATGTCCCAGACTACTGCTACAAACAGGAATAAACATTATCATCTATGAGGTTGTCATAGAAAGACAAAGAAAAGCACATTTCTGGCAGTGTGTGTTTGTCCAGGTTAGTAATGCCATGAGATTATGAGCGAAGTTGATTTGTATATTTTACTTAAAGAAAAAATCACAAGTTGATGTTTTTATTTTTTTTAATTGCACAGACTTTAAACTACATTAATAAATTCTACTTTCTTCCAGGATAAGTGTCTTTTCCAGAAATAAACATATCACTTGACATTTTTATTACTTTTTGTTTCTGAATGCATGCTTAAATAGATCAAAGGAGCACAGTCCTTAAGATTACAATTAAAATGGACCAAATTAAGATTCTAATAGTACTGACTTCCCCTTAATGTAATTTAAAATGTGTAAACTGGCACTGGAAATAGAAGTGAAATACCTGACATTTCATTATTTGGCAGTTTTTTAGGTATAGTAGGTGTTACTGCACTGTTATTTGAATTGAAGCATCTCATGTATGTAACAGATTTTGTATGATACAAAACTTTACAGCAAGCTATTTGAATGTTTACTTAAAAAATTCTCAAAATGACATGGAAACATGTTTACTGTACAAATAAAAGCTTAGACATTAAGAGTGTACATTATTCAATAATTTAGATCATAAGAAAGCCGGGCATGAATTAACCAGTACAAACTACCATGCTAACATGACATGTTAATATTTCAGTCAATCACAACTGACTTCAGAACAGTATAGTAACTGAACCACCTATAAGCTGGGTGTTAAGATTCTAGACTGCTAAGCCATATCATCATCCTTCTTCAATGTGAATGACAGTGTGCTTACATTAGCTTTTTCCTACAATAATTCCATTTAAAATTATTTTTTATGGTTCAGTTAATACCACCTCACATTATCAAATATATTTAAGAAAAAATTTTTCAGCCAAAGGTACAAATTATATGGATTTATATACATATTTTATAAAACAGACCAAATGAATTTAACAGTCAAGTATATAAAATTATTAATTTCAAAATGATTATAATTATGTCATTTCCAGGGTTTTTTTAAAGTAAAAGTTGATTTAAAATTATATGTTCATAACATGTTTTTTTTTCAAGATACCACTAACCATTCATCCTCCATTTTTAAAGAAACATAGTTTTATAAAAACTGTATTAATTTGGTCACCAGCTATACTAAAGTTATGTCAATTTATACAGTAGTGGCCCCATATCCATGGTTTCAGTTACCTGAGGTCAGCTGTGGTCTAAAGTTATAAAATGGAAAACTCCAAAAATAATTCATAAGTTTCAAACTGCGCCCTGTTCTGAGCAGTGTGAAGAAATCTCCAGCTGCCCCAGGCCATCCCTCCTGGGACATGACTCATCCCTTTGGCCACCATGTCCATGCTGCATGTGCAGTACAATAAGATATTTTAGGACATAGAAAGAGGCCACATTCACATAACTTTTAATACAGTATATTGCTCCCGTTGTTAATTTCTTACTGCATTTAATTTACAAACTAAACTTTACCACATATGTGTATGTACAGAAAAAACATAGTATAAAGAGAGTTAGGTACTATTTCTGGTTTTAGGCATCATTGGTGGGTCTTGGAATGCATCCACCTGGATGGATCAGGGGGACTACTGTATTCGCATTTAATCTGGAGAAGATACTCAGCTCATGTGTAAGAAAAATATGTGTTTTAGTAAATCTTCATTAAGAAGAACTTAAGGTTTTGCCAAAAAAGGGTCTGGCTTAATTATAAGAGCTTATACCAGGGATTTTAAAGGCTAAAAACCTGGTGACCCAACTTTGCAACTGCAAGAGTGCTCTCACTCAGAAACGTGGCTGGGCGTCTGCGATGCTCCACACCCACAGATGCCGAAAGACTTACTGGCTTCCTAACGCCCAAACCACCAGCGAATACTGTCAGGAAAGTCAGAGTTTTAATTTCTGAATATTTAAGCAAAGTGGTATATCACTTGACTTTTTCTAATGTTATGAACAGTTGGCATCATATATAAACAACAATTAAGTTTAACAGAAAATCTAAATGTTGACATTTCATTAAAATGTATCATTTCCAGAAAAATCTAGATTTAGCAAAAGATGCCATTTTAGGTAATCTGTGTCTTCAGTAACAAATTAAAGTGCAGAGAGAAAAGTTGTTTAAAAACTTTTTTCCATAGATGCCAACAAAACACACTGAAAAAAGTATGTAAAGAATAAAAAAGGAAAAATCATGCCTCCTATAGTCCTATTTCACTATATATTATTTTATTGCCCACCTAAGGCAATTTAAAATAAAATTTTAGGAACTACAGTGTCCTTCTTCACAAAGACTTGTGAGTTTCTGTTCTCTAATAATGTGATTAAGAATGAACCCCATTATGACTGTGGCACAAAATCCAGGATTGCCCTTCTAGCTCGCCTACAAATCCCAACAAAAATTGAAAGTAACATTTGTAACCTGCAGGTAAGTATAAATTAGTTTCATATAGGCTTTTATCATTTGGCTTCTTATATATATAATCTTAAAAATTAAAGTTAAGAGATATTTACATCAATTAATCATACAGCAATATTTGATGACATTATACAGATATCCATAAAGTGATAACTTTTCTAAAAGCAGAAACATCCCAAATACAAAAACATCTTTTATTGTTTTGAATTGTGTGCTACAATGAAAACACATTATTTTTATATATAACAAATTAAAGTGATATATATATATATCACTTTAAAGTGATATATATATATATATATATATATATCACTTTCATATATATATCATGAAGGGAAGAGATTTAACAGGTAGAAACATGGAGAAGCCCCGCCAAAAGCTTTAAGTCAAAGTAGTCCAATTTGTTTCTTCCAGTCAGAAACATTCACAGTACTTTCTTCAGCTTTCAAATTCTAGGCATTCAAATTGTCATAGTGCCCTGCAAAAACTAATATGTAAGCAAAATCATCAGCTGTTAACAATAAAATGGTATTTGTTTATTATATTCCATAAAAGCATTTTCAAAAGTTGAGAAAGTTTGATTTTCCAAGTCTTATAATTCAACCAGTATATACTAGTAGGGTAATGGTGACCCTGTAACTTCTACAAATAAAACAAAACAAAACAAAACAACAGCACTAAAATATTAAAAAACACATGAGCCCTGGCTGGCGTAGCTCTGTGGATTGAGCACAGACTGTGAACCAAAGCATCACAGGTTCGATTCCCAGCCAGGGCACATGCCTAGGTTGCAGGCCATGGCCCCCAGCAACCGTACATTGATGTTTCTCTCTCTCCTCTCTCTCTCCCTCTCTCTCTCTCCCCCACTCCCTTCCCACTCTAAAAATAAATAAATAAATCTTTAAAAAAAAACCACACACATGAAACATAACTTTCCTATAAAATCTTTTTTTAAAAAAACCTGAATTCAGGTTAATAGCAACCACTTGAAATAAGAAATGAAACAGCTTTATAATCCATTATAAATGAAAATTTCCTATCTCTATTAGAACTAAGAAAGATCACTACAAGTAAACTACTCTTCATAAAAATAATGGTAGTTTTGCCCTTGAAAATGATTTAGAGGGTAAACTGTCAAAACCCTGTCATAGCCCTGACTGGTGTGGCTCATTAGGTTGGGCATCATCCAGCAAAGCGAAAAGTGGCCAATTCAAGTCCTGGTCAGGACACACACATAGGCTACAGGTTTAGTCCCTATCAGCGTGTATATGAGAGGCAACCAATAGATTCCTCCCCATCTCTGTCCCTCCCTTCCTCTGTTTCTAAAAATAATAAAATAAAAAAATTTTTTAAGAAAACCTCTCATAAAATTTCACAGTATTTTTTATGTTTAATATTAAGTCAAGTTGGTATTTGTACCAATACTGAATCTTATATTTACACTCAACTAAAAAATATAGAAAAAGATCATGGCCTATGAAATATATTACTCCCCGTATTTGTACCAGAGCCCACTTAACAGTTTTTGATAACTATGAACACTTCTGGAACACAGTGTAAATATCAAAAGTTTAACAGGATACTCACATCATCATATACGAAATTCACAACCCCTTGTTGTAAGTGATCTCTTCTCCTAAAGAAATCTTTGAACAAAAAAATTACTTCTTTATTATAACTGAAAATCTACAGTTTCAAATACATGGTATCCCCACATACTAAAAAGTGAATAAATTCATATTCAATAAGAAAACCTACAAAACTGGGCTATAACAATTTTTCATTATTTGTAGTCCAAAAAAATTTGAAGCCTTAACACTCTGACTAGATTCAATAATGAATGGAGGAAAAACATGTAATATTATAAACTTGCTATACTTAAGAAAAATAGCTATATGATACTGCACCCATTTTTAAATGATACATACCTGTCAATGCTCGAAGCTTCACACAACAAGCAACATAATCGTCAAAGAAGATCCTGCCATTCTTGCTATAACGTTTAACAATAGCACTTAATGTTTGAGGACTCAACCTATAACCTAATAAAAAGGGAGTGATAAATTAAAATTTCTAAAACTAAACACCATAAGAAGACCACAACAAACATTGCATTCTTGTTAACAGTCATAAAACATATTAACTTTCAAAATGCATTCCACAAAAAATATTAAAAACAAAACTCAATGTTAGAAACAAAACATTCATATTAAAATTGATTAAAGCAACTATTCATTACTAATAGTGGTACATAAACATCATAATTCTAGCTTATAAATCAAAGCTAAAGAATAATCATTTTTTAAAATATATTTTGATTTTAAAATTGTCTAGGTATTTCATAGGTTTTAATGTTTCAGTATTTCAATTCTGTAATTTTGTTTTTTTACCCTTCAGGTATTTTTTTTATTTGTGTTTTTATTTTTTATTAAGGTATAGTGGCATACAACATTATACTTCTGGTGTACAACATAATAATTTGATTATTTGTATGTATTGCAAAATAATTACCAAAATAAGCCTAGTTAACATTTGACACTATACATAGTACAAATGTGAAATAACTTTCACCATTTGGCATCTTATATAATCTATCTTTATAAGTTTTTTTTTTTCTTGTTATAAGAACTTTTAAGATCTACTTTTCAGCAATTTCAAATACGCAATACAGTATTATTAACTATAATCACCATGGTGTGTATTAAATCCCCATGACTACTTATTTTATAATTGGAAATCTGTACTTTTTGCCCTCCTTTCACCCATCAATTCTGTAAATTACATAGTTCTTTAAAGACTAACAAAGCAAAGATTATCAATGATCTTTGCTGTCACTCAAATCCTATATTTCCCATTGAATATTTTACTTACAAGTGTCTTTTATAAACAGAGAAGATTTGAGGATCAACATGGTCATTCAGAAAGAGAAGAAATAGAAAAGTACTATTCCGCTATGTCCCATAACCCTTCCTTGGTTCTTTGTTATCTAGGCCTGTGGTCTCCAAAAGTTTTTAATTGTATGCTCCTATAAGTAAAATGTTTGGGATCATTCATTCTATTATATGTGCATTAATTTAGTTTTAAATTCTATATGTGTATCACTGTTTGATTATTTACACTTTAAAATAGATCTAAAACTAGTATTTAAAAGGAATGAAGTAAAAATAATTAGAAATACAAATTAATATATTCTACTTTGTGCATCCCTGTAGATGGTCTTATGTATTTAATGATGTGCATGCACTTTACTGTGAAGAATGAAGGCCCAGAAGCATTGTCGGTATTATTACTGAGTTAGTAGATATGGACCAAAGACACTAATGCACTCAAAGGAAAAACAATAAAACTAAATGAATTGGAGAAAATTCTATGTGTAGATATAATAAAACATAATGCAGAAAGCTTGCTAAAAGTAAATAAAAGGAAAGGAATAAACTGATAGCAGCAGCAAGTAAAACATGCACACTAATGTAATTACATACAAATCCATTTTGAGCTTTCTATTAGAAAGTTACAATCTGGATGTGATACTGACTAAATTCTTATGATTTCCCACAGCATTCTTAGAAAAATAATTACAAATTTGAATAATCCAGAATACCTCTTTGTATATTCAACTGCCTATGTGAACTCTTTAGTGGTTTTCTTTTCTGCAAAAGGTTAATTTTTAAACATTACTAATTAAGGAACAAGTTTAATCTATTAGTTATTAAGGCTCTATAATAGAACCTTATGTTTATATGGCCAGGATTGTCCCTGAAATGACCTTTATAAAACAAAACAAATCACTAGTTTTGACTTCTTTAAATTGGAGTTTGAGGTAATTTGCATTGGGCTCAGATTTTAACTTTCAAAAGTTAATCTTCTTACAAATCTATTTTATTTAGAAGTGAGTATAAATAAAATCACAAAGGTAAACATAATTAAGAAAACTACTTAAAATTGTGTTAACTGTAAGCAAGTTAAACACCATTGTATATGATCACTTTTCACAAGAAAGTAGACTTAGAACCTTAGCTTATCAGAGATTAATAAAAATAAAATTAAAGTGTTTTAAAATATCCTAAAAAACATACTTCCCATTTGGAGGTATTTTAATGTCTACTGTGTGTTCTATACTACATAAGAAAAAAAAAAGATGTTTTTTATTGCTGAAAAGCTAGATTATGGAGACCTCTAACTGAGATAGGCCTTTGCTGTAGAATTGGAGGCTTTACCAAGTTACAAAAGAACATAATATAAATGGTAAGTTCTAAAAACTAGAAAAATACATTTAAATACACTCAACAGAGAAAATTCTTAAGTTATTTTATTATCCAGAATGTATGAAAGTTCATCTTTTGAAAAAATAATGGATAAAATGATTTTTTTGTGAAAGGTTTTTAGTAAGAATTTACCTACAACCTTGAAATCAAACTAGGCAACAGCTGGTACAATAATATATCCCTTCATTACTTAACAAAATGAAATAATTAAGTTTCATCTGATCAAAGGACAAAGATAACTGAGATGTACGCTGAAGAATTTTAATGTTCTTACCCATAGCGGCGATGGCTTGGTTAAGTTCATGGTGCTCCACTGTGCCGCTCTGGTCTTGATCAATGGTTACGAAGTTTTGTTTCCAGCCATTAAGGGCTGTCCAAAGTTCTTTGAATTCATTAAATCCCATTTTTCCTGTGTAATCTCTCTGAGAGTTTTATTAACAAAAATAAATTTTGATACCAAGAGAACTTACCTAACCCAAAACTCCAAATCATTGACCCCAAAAGCTAGGTTGCCTCTGCAAGAATTAGCAAAACTCAACATTTGAGTAAATTTCTATGCAGGACTGGAAAAGTATGGAATTCAAACAGGATCTTACAAAGTATTTTTAAACTCTAGTTTACTGTGGTCATCTATAGCCAACAATTTCCTTAAAATGCAGAAAGCAATTATTCAATAGTCTTTTCTATTTTTATTCAAGGATACATCCAACATGGCAATCATAATTCTGCAGGTTTCCAAACTGAAGGCTATAAAACACATTCATTATTTGAATTAGAGTCTGCCCAATTTTATCTATGTAAGATTATGACAATTTCTACTGGCAAATTAAAATTTGGTAAAAAATATACAATCACTCCAATCAGCAAACTTTGAATGTTAGCCACCCACAATAAAATCATAATCACCATCATCATCATCATCATCATCAAGAAAGTTACTACTACCTTCAAACTACTGACATTAAGGGGATTTAGACAATTAAATGAACAATTATAAAGTAACTGAAAATTGCTGTTACAGAAGAAAAGGAGGGCTTTAGTCCTCCTAACACAAATACAAATGGGGTGTAAGCAGAAGTTTGACATATACTGTGAGCACAAAACTTGAAGGAGTTAGTGATTTGGTTGAGTATGGCATACATGTGAGGGAGCTGCACATGATGGCATCAGAAAGACAGGTGAGGCCCAGATCGTGAGAGTCTTGAATGCCACATTAAAGATTAGGCCAATGGAAGTCACTGAAGTATTCTAAGGAGCAGAGGGACAATTCTAAGATCTCCATTAGTTTACAATGACTAGACTGTGAAGTGAGATGAAAATAGATGTAGGTAAATCATTTGGTAGTTTTATTGCAACTGACCAAGTAAGAGAAGATAAGTTTTCAAACTAAAGCATCTGTTCCTCCACCTTGGGGTGGGGGAGGGGGTAAAGAAAGGAAGAAGAAATAAATAAAACTACCGTAAAGTCAGGAATTATTAAAAATATTAACTTTCTTGTAATCATAGAACTATAACCGAGGACTCACTAAGTAGAATTTAATTTCTCAAATCCTTATCATAATTATATTCAACTAGTATGTGATTTATCTCAAGATAAATTATAGTCCTCATAAAGGAGACATTATATCAACACAGTTAAGCTTATAAAGTTATAGCAGCTAGTAGCTCACTAAGATAAATAAGTAAAATTGCTTAAAGTTAGTTGGTTTATTTTATGCTATTTGATATTTTTGAAATTCTATAAAGAACCAAATTATTTCAGCTAAATTTTGGACCCATTAAGAAAAAAATATAAAACATTTCACAAGTTAAAATAGCTGATTTTCTTTAAATTGTTTAATAATTGTGTCAATGTTAGAATAGGTGGTTACAAACAATTTCAACAGACACTCGAGGAGCATTTACTGTGAACCAGGTAGTGTTTCATGATTTCACATAAACATGCCACATGCACTATAACCCTAATTTCACAATTAAAGAAACAGAGGACCAGAAAGCTAAACTTTCCCAAGTTCACAGAGCTAATTAAGTGGAGGAGTCAGCACTGAAGCCCTGCATTTCTTCATACAGAAACTGCAGGAACAGGGATGGGAACAAAGGTTACATGAGAAATTACTGGAGTGCTAATTCCATTATTCGTCAAGCGAAGGATACCTGTTTTGCTTTCAAGTGAACATGGCACACATTCATTAGGTGGGAGAGTCTCAATAGATGAGAATAAACAGTAAAAATGGACTCATCAAATAAGCACACCTTTATTCTCAAAATAAGATCAAATATATATGATTAAATATTTTGACAAAGAATAAAAAGTGAGGATTTTGAGGAAAGTTGATGGAGTTCCGCTCTCTCCCACCATACCCCATTAGAATAGAAAGTAAATTTTTTTAAGTCATAAACCTTTAAAGAAAAAAGGGAAGAAACAAAGCAACAAAATTTTGCAAGCTAAAACTAGAAGGACAACTAAAAAAGAAAGAAGGAAACTAGAAGGAAAACTAGATGGACATGAGTTAACTAATGTAGATCTGAGCAAGTGTTTCCCTGAACTTGCAATAAGAAAAGCTGAGAAGCAGCCTCGTTACCCTGGAGAAGACCCCAAAAGTTTAAGAATTGGCAACACTTCTGTAAATGGATGTGAAGGTAAGATAAGAACAGAAGGCATGGTTGAATGCCTACTTAAGGAGAATTTAGAGCTCCAAATCACCCCCTGGCCTCAGCTACATGGACAGCTACTACGTCTGTTCCCATCCCAGCAGAAGTCTCAGGTTTTATTCCCTGGAGAAGCCTGTGGACTACAGGATTCCAGAACAGGGCCACCTACTGAAAACAAGGCAATGAAATGACAATGTACAAAAGGCTGGGAGCCCTGCTGAGTCCTCCCTCCTCCTTTCCAGACAGAAGATTAGCTGGACAACCAGCCCAAAAGGAAATCCCTAAAGATACGAACACCCAGTATTGCTCAGCAAACTGCGGAGCCTAACCACCATCAGACATGGAAGTCAACAATCAATACCTAAGCATGATCTCAGAGCTGCTAACTAGCATTTTAGTTGACTATGACTATCCAAGGATCACTGACACCCGAGAAAGACATCTAATATGAAAGATAATCTAACACACAAGCTGGAAAAAAAATTGTTGGCAACAAAGGTTATGTAGAAAGAGAGAAACTTTAATAGTCTCAGAGATAAGGAAAAGGAAAGATAATATATTCATGGAAAAAAAAAGAAGCTCTTGGAATTTAAGAACATGATAGCAGATAAAATTCAATACAAGGCTTAGAAAATAGATAATGTCCCCCAAAATTGAGGAAAACGAGAAATAGGAGAGAAAAGATAAGTGATCCATTCCAAATAACAGGCATTCCAGAGAGACAAAATGAAGAAAACAGCACTGAAGAAAATTCCCCAGAGCTAAAGTGAATGAGTTCCCAGAACAGGGGTGCTCACTGGGTTCCCCACACAACACAACTAGGCACATCACTGTGAACTACTAGACTAGGAACAAGATTTCATAGGCCTCAAGAGAAGAAAGACAAATGACATACAGAGTGACAATAGAAGCTAGAAACAATAGAGCAATACCTTTTAGATTTTAAGTGAAAATGATTTTTAACTTAGAGTCCTAAACCTGACCAATCGCTTAATTCTGAGGATAGCATGAAAGCATTTTTAGATGCAGTCTCAAAAAATTTACCTCCCATGCACTCCTTTATTCTAATTAATGTTACAGTTTATAGAATTAAAAAAATGACCAGAGATAAAATAAAGGGGAGACCCAGAGAGAGAAAAGACAGCTCCTGAATAATGGTGATGGAATGCCAGTATGACAGCTCTGCACAGAAAGTAAAGCACGGCACAAAGCTCCAGGATAATGATTAATAGCAGGAAAGTAAAGTTATGTAAAATGGAAAAGTAATCATATCTATCACAAGATCCAAGAAGAGCATTTAGATAGTAACAATAAGGCAAATACTGATGATTGATCTAATGTAAATTACTATATAGCCATACTGAATGGGTGGGAGGATGGCAAGGGTTACTGTGTGAAGTGCAGGAAAAAAGGTGAGTTTAAGACTGAGAGTAAATCCTCATGTCCCATAGTAGGACATCATCTGATAACCATCAAAACTGAAAACAATTGTGATTACAAAGCATGCTATTTTGAGATCTGGAGGCAAACTTCAAAATAGTGAGCTGAAAAACCTGAAAGAGGTTTCTTCTATGAATGGTTAACATTGGGGAGGTAGGCATGCACAACTAACAGTTATTTTCATAACACACTTCACAGAACTATTTGACTCTTTAACCTATGTACATGTATGTCTGTGATAAAATTATTTTAAGTGTGGAAACAAAACATTAGAAAATGAATTTCCCATTTCAATTTCAACAGAGGGAAAAAAGATCTCACGAGAATAAGTTCCACTAATTCCAGACTGTGTCAAACATTTCTGAAGTTCTTCTGCATCCACTTCACCATCCTGTTAAAAATAATTATAACTTGATTTAATGTACAGTTGTATAAAAGCATATTAAAATGCTAATTGTCTATCCTAGGCTAATCAATAAATGTTATCTTCAAAATATTACTCTACTATCAACTACAAAATAATTGACAAATATTGACAGCAAAGGCATATTAAAGACCATGAAATATGAAGGTTTTCACAATCAATTAATTTATCAAGCATTTCAAGTACAATTTATTCTCTCCCTGTCTGGAAAACAGCTTAAGCATTCTGTACTATAATAGCTGAAAGCATGTGTTTTGTGACAAACACTGCACCTCTACTTAAAACAGTTGGGAAAATGCCAAAAATATCTTCAGAAAAGTCTCAAAAACTTTCCTTTTATGGCAGTTTTGGTGGGAGATTATTTCTAAAGGATACTGATGGAGGAAATAGCTTTGCCCTCTACCACTACTCCACCCAGCAAAATCTGCATTCCTTACATTTTATTAGTACACTTCTAATTACTGCTCAAACATTCTTGGCTTGAACATATGGGAAATAAGGTTTCAATGTAAATAAGAAATCAATGGAGGTGAAACAGGTTGAACAGTCTCATGTTTCAGTACCTCGTCTTATTATCTACAAACAGAGGAGAATAATTTACCTGGAAGCGTCAAATATTCAATACATTCTCACAAATGTAAAACAATAGCTCTGAGAAAGGTTCAAGGAGACAAATTTAAAACATGTACTTTGTAAGAGACCCAAGAAACAACAACAACAAAGAACTTTTACAAACTACTGCTAATAAGTATTAGCAATACTCATATTCTGAACTTTAGCATGGAGTTCCTCATAAAAAACGTTCCAATGGGTCTAAAGGAATTAAAAAATACTGGGAAGCACTCCCATCAATGAGCCCTTCGTGTAGTATTCACTACACAGAGCATCTAAGTGTTCCCTTCTCCGCCATCCATGTTTTTGTGATTTTGCTTACAAAGTTTAAATTCTGTAGTTTGAAAATAGTATTTTAAAAAACTGTGAGGACACAATCCAGATTGTGAAGACAATCACAGAATCACACATAAGGAAGGGTAACACGGGGAAGGAAAGGGATGACATGGAAGGGGGACCGGAAGAAGGAGGAATGCCGCAAAAACTGCATGCGAAATAAGTTTATGAACCAAAAGTCAAAAATACGTGGAAAAATCTAATGTTCAAAAAGACAGCCAATAAAAATTAGCAATTTTAGAACAAATTCATACAAGATGAAATTAATTTTATAGAGCAATCATTAAATCAAATACATTAAGAAAATGTAGAGAAATAATTGAATAACTTCCATTTAGAAAGAATAAAAAAATCCTTTAACAAATATTTCCTGAGCAACCTACTATATACAAGCACCGTTAAAAGGACTAGGTATCAAATATTATCTAAAACAAATTCCTCATCTTCATAAGAGTTTACATGTTAGTAGCAGAAGAGAGACAATAAAGCAGAAATTACTTTTGACGGTATTAGGTACTAAGAGAAAAATATAGCCAGGTAAAAGTAATAAGGAATGTGTGCATTGGCCCTGAGGAGAAGGCAGTGCTATTTTATACAGATGGTTAAGGAAAGCCTAACTGATAAAGTGAATTTTGAGAAAGATCTGAACAAAGTAAAGGAATAAGCTCTGCAGACATCTGAGGGAAGAGTGTTTCAGACCTGAGCTATCTCAAATAGCCACAAGCCATGTGTTCCACTGGATCCTTAGACTGGGTTAGTCTGAACTGAGATACTGTGTAAGTATAAAATACACACCAGATTTCCAAGATTTAGTACCAAAAAAAAGAAACATATCTTATTAAGAAATTTTACACTGAGAACACTGATATGTTAATATTTTGATATATTTGAGTTAAATATATTATTAAAATTCATTTCACGTATTTCTTTCTACTTACTCAAGGCTTTAAAACTACCTATGTGGCTTACACTTGTGGCTCATATTGCATGTATTTTGGCCAGTGCTGCTATAGGCAAAGAAACAAGCATAAATGTCAGAGGATGTTCTTGGTGTTGCTAAAATCCTTACCCAATCACCTCTAGCCTTCTTTCCCTCCATCACTTGTTTCCTACATGTCCATCTCTCTGACTGGACACAGACCTTCTAAGTCAGTATCTGAGTTTCATTGCCCTTTGCATCGCCAAGTCCTAGCACAGTATCTAGAACAAAGCAAGTTAGTTGTTTAGGAGAATAAAGATAATTGTCTTGGCTAAAGACAATTCTTGGTTAAATTATAATTGTTTCTTTCAGTTTGTGGCCAAATTCACCTACTATTTCAAACAGTTAAAATATCAGAATGTCTTGTGCAAATGTGGATTAAATTTAAAAATCTAAAATCTAATATAAATAAAACTCAATTTTACATGTGCTTTTTACAGAATGTTCAGTCAGAAAAAACAACTTGAACAGCTCTATTAAAAGCTTTAACCAACAGAAAGCATTCTCTAAGTACACTACTCCATATTCCAATTTCATCCATTGTATGAAAACACACTGTCTTAACTGACTAATAAACAATGTCTTAGTAAACTACCTAAGAAAGTGATCACTTTGGATCTTGTTACCTGCACTTAAAACTGGCAAATCACAATCAACTGTGTGATCCCGCTACAAAATTTGGTGGCATTGGTAGTGGAAAACTGCATTTTCTAATTAAAAAATAAGAGCTTTAGATAGATAATTAACAAAAAATCAATTGCCATTGGTTAGGTTAATTGCCATTGACAGGCAGCAAGATTTTAAAATAATATTCAAATTCAGGTCATATTTGTTCAGTTAATCTTAATCTCCACTTATTTATCTATCATAAAAGGGTACATCCATTCTACCCACCTCACAGATTGGCTGTGTGGAAAAGTGGAAGCAGTCTGCACGCTAAAGTTGTTGTTGGTATTACTGAGATGCACGATGTGTGTGTGTGCCCATGTGAGTAAGCATGCGTGTGTGTCTGTCTGTATTTATGAAGGTACAAACCAGAATTTCCTTTAATCAACTGATGAGTGAATTATCACTGTTCAGAAAACATCATCCTATAAAAAGGAACACTGCAGAAACCTTTAACTGGACACTTCTCATAGAGCACCATTAATTATGAGGCCTATCATAAAAGAATATAGCTGTAGAGGTGAGTTCAGCAATTAGGTTCTAGGACCATGATAGTGTAAATCAGATATGATACCTGATCCTAAACCTAGGCAAAATTCAACATATAAAAGAAATGACTAAATATTTGGACTAAAAATTAAAAATGAGATAATTTATGTAGCCATTCAACACATTTATTGTTGAATGTGGGAACACAATATATTCCTAGTGCCAACTTGGTAGGAGAGAATACGCCAAGAGTCATGTCCTTGTGGAGTTTGACTATTCAAAAGCACAAGACTGGAAAAATTGAGGAAAGTATCAAATAGTACAAACATAGCAAACTACTGTTGAAAACTGTTACATTGAAATAGTTCAGAAGTCAAATAAATGTCTCTACATATATAGGTCCACTTCCTATGTTTTAAGATATAATTTTATAAAATGGATTTATTATATAGTCAGTTACAGATAACATTTATTCTCAGTATTATACTATTTAAAAGTTCCTTGCATGTAAGAATGGTGTAATGTAAAGGATTACATTTAGCTGCAATTAAAAAATTCTATTAAAGAGGATCAAACACTTAAGGGTCTACTGTTTTATACAGGAAGGCTGGGGTAGGTAGAGCATGACTGTCTGGCAACTAACTGAATGATGCCACCCATGTGTACATGCAGACCTCTTTTTCCAAGTCCTCTCTGGCTCAGTCTCCCAGACCACCCTTTCCTACTTTTAGTTAAATGAACTATGTTCGGGCTTCCTGCTAACAGACTTTTTAAAATAAAACAACTACCCTCATATCTGATCTCACAAAGAAAATTAGTCTAGATAAGTTTAAAATACAAACTTGATATACACATAAAATAATTAAGTAAAAAATGAGCATTTCTTTTAAATAGCAATCGTTTCAAAAACGGGTATTTGTGCAATGTATTTAGCATCTCACCTGTCCAGCAACATCAGTAAAGTACCTCCACATGGGGTCTTCCGCTGAATAACTGTTGGAATAAGCTGGGTATCCCAAGTATCCACCAGGGGGCACATATGGCCCTGCTCCTGGCACTGGCTGTCCCATCAGCATCTGCATTCCAGGCATCTGACCACTAAAATTTCCAAACTAGAAGAGTAGAAAAGGAGAAAGTTATTATTAGAAATGTCACCTATTATCCACTAAAGTTGGTTTAAAAGAAAATATTTATGCACAATCCATTGAAATGCAGAAATAGAGTTACTGAAAGCTTCCACATTTATTATCACAAAAGCTGTTAGCTAGATGCTAGCTGGCCTGCCTTAGGACCTAATTCCTTTCATTAATATGTTGTCCAGCATTAAAAGAACTGAGAAAGAAAAAGAAATCTCTAGTCACTAAGAACTTAATCTAAAAGGTGAACATGAGGCACAATTTTAAAAAGTGTTTACTGTGATCATCCCTGAAATAAACAAAAAGTAAAAAATTTAAGAAAATTTCACCTACAGGAAAACCAACAAGTAGTATAACTCAAGCCACATACTTAGAAGACTACATGGTACAATGAAATTGTAAGTCAAGGGAAACTGCATAGGGCCAAAACATCCTCGCCATCAGAAAAAAAAATTTTTAAAGCAAGACACCAATGAACAGATCAATAAAGTGATAATTCCAACCATGTTCTTTTTCAAAACTAATAAGAATAACAACAATACCAACAATAATAAAATGAAGCTAATATTTATTGAGAGCTTTTTATAGCCCTAGTACTCCAGGTACTTTCCCTCTGTTATGTGATTTGACTTTCCAACAACTCTATGAGGTATTAAAGTACTATGTCTTTTCTGCAGTTGAGGACCTGAAACTTGAAGAAGTTACCAGAATTGGGTAAGGTCAAATAACTAGTGAGAAGGAAAGCAAGATTCAAAAACAGAGTCTGACCCCAGAGGATACAAACAGTTTCCCCTATAGCTCTGGTTTCTCTCTTTTCACTTTGGAACTTGGTATACACATTTAATAATCTAAAAAGATATTTCACTCAGTATCTTTATGAGTATGAAAGTGAAAGAAATACCAAAATTGTTCTTTACTCCATTTTGAACAAAAATATTTTTCATTTACATTCTTTTTTTATACAGCGTTACCTTTCAAACATTTTTCAGTTACAGTTGACATTTACTATTGTATTAGTTTCAGGTTTACAGCAATGCTGGTTAGATATTTATGTAATTTATGAAGTGATTTCCCCCTTAAGTTTACTACCCCCCTGACATCATACAGTTATTACAAAGATTACTGACTATATTCCCTATGCTGTACTTTACATTTCCTGACTATTTTGCAACTGCTAATTTGTACTTCACCTGCATTCATTAAGTATTCAGCAGGGATTGCCAGAAAGCAAAAAAGAAAAAAATTAAGCACAAGGGGGAAAAATTTTGTAGTACTTTGAAAAACCCTAGCAGGTGGGATTTGCTAAGAGCAAAAGTATGGAGGAAGTACTCCAGGAAATGTCCTCAAGAAGGTGGTCAAAACCTAGATTCTAAAGCAATGAAGTACAAGAAAGGAAACAGTAAACATCAAAACAATATTATGGGTTAAAAACAAAATAAATAAATAAAACGGATGTGATTATTTAAAAGTTGCTTCTTTGAAAAGACAGATCATCAAAGGACAGACCAAGATGAGGAATTTAAAAAAGGAGAGTACATAACCACATATAGACTTAAATTAAAAAATATATATGGACAAATGCTAGGAATACCTTTTTACCAATATATCTGAAAATGTAAATGAAACGGGCATTCTAAAATTATATACATTACAAATACTGACTCAAGGGGGGGAAAAAAGTCCTATTTATCATAATGGCAGACTAGGAAAACTTGATTAAACTTAATAATGAAAACAATCAAAATGCTACAAAAATTTATTTTTAAACCACCTTACTGATAGAAGGAAATTTCCTGGCCAACATCTGAGGACAAGTCTGAACCCCAAGATAAAAGGATGAACAAAACTCCCAAAGCTTTTTCTCAGAGGGCAGGTGGCAATAACCAACACCTCGGCATCAGTTCCAAGGCCTCCAAGGACATGGAATGCAACCAGTTCTTACGGCATATCCAAGAATGTAGGGTTTATTAAAGACTCTCACCAACTTAAGCTTTACATAAGGAAGAAAAACTAAAAAAAATCTATTAGAAAAGAGGTTGAGCTAAATATATGAATATTAGTGAAAAGCTAATGGTGAGGTGGTGCCAAAAGATGATTACAGACCCGCTACTATACCATCTCTATTTGTTCCTTGAAGGTTCAACACAAGTTTTTTCCTAAACCAGTCAGGCAACCAATATTTTACAAAGCATCTGGCCTTATTAATAACCTTCTATTTTTCCTTCCTGACAAGCAGCATTAACTCTCCAAAAATCCAAAAATGTAAGAGCTGGTACTAGTGGTCAGAATAAGATAACCGCAAATTGTTTGCCATCTCTCCCATGCAAAGGCTGACTTTCTGCACTCCCTTGAATCTGAGTTGGACCTGTTTCAGCTTTATCTGATAGAATACAGCAGAAAATGTGCCATGTCCTTTCCAGGCTTAGGACATTAAGAGGAAGCTTCTGTTTCTCTCTTAGAACAAGGCGAGCATGAAGAAGCCCAAGACTGATCAGAGGGTGCATGTGGAGAACTGGACCTCTTAGCCACTATATAAGGCTAATCCATAAAAATGGTTTTAAAAATTCATATTATAGTAAGTTGTCTTCTTGGTGGTGTCAAAGGAGTCAAAACTGATTACTATACAGTCCTAGTTATCTGGTAACATGACTGAAGAAAAGCCAGGCTTAAAGTGTTAGTGATGTTTCATGTTGTTTTGCACGTTTTTGAATTTTTACTATAATTGTTGATTCCTAGTTTCTTCTCAGAAACTTTCAAACTACTGGTTCATTTTGGGAGGGTTACTTTAGTTAAATTGGATTATATAATCTGTAACCCCAGAAAACACGATGCATATAAACTGTAATAAATCACAACAGGCTGAAAGGAAACAAGTTGAGAGGCCAAAGTATAGAACTCCACCTCATCCCTCAGGACAGTCCCTGTAATTTATATCAGTGTGAAAATGTTTTAAAGTCCCATGGGTTTTAGCTACAATGACTAATTTTTGAGGAAGGCTCTACCTTCCTTAGGGATCTTAAATTTTCTTACATTATGATAACGCAGGACTGATAAAAGGTAAATATTGTAAAGTAGAAGTGGCCTAGTGAAACTAAGCAAGTGTTAAATCCTACATATAATATCAGTAAAGCTCAAGTTCTCTTTCTAAGTAAAAAACGTAGAATTACAATAGGAAATACACTGTATGTTATTTTCTACCCACACCCCCATTGGGTCATCCCTCATGACCATTTGTTAACATAAAGTGTACTCATCCACTTTGGACATCACTGACGTAAACACTGAAGGTCACCCGACCTTTCAGAAAAGAAAAAGCTAGACACCAGCATACTACAATTATAACTTCCAACTCAAAAGTGATGCAAAATAAAGAGTTATGTAACAAAGAGTAAACTTCCCTAACCTCAAAAAGTCTACAAGACCAGACTACACTTAGCAGAACAGTAAAGATTAGGAGGCATTTAGCATATCTTAATTTATTCATAAGCAATTTAAAGTACAGAAAACGAATGCTCAAAAAATTGAGAAAGGGGATGTCTAGCAAAACTGAGAGTCTTATGGCGGGGGACGGGAGGATGCACAACGAAAGATGACTGGAACAAGAAAAGGGTGCTTTTCCGGGGCCATTCCAGTAAAATTTCTAAAACCACAGGACACTCTTGGCTACACCAAAACGCGGCCCAGGGACAAAACTAGGCCGGGTCCGGCTTCCAGCACAGTGCGCACTACCCGCGCCACCGAGTGCCAGGGACTGGAGATTCACCGGCTGGGGGCGGATCGGGTACTTTGGCACCGTGACCAGGGGTGCCACGCCCCGCGAAAGCAGTTGCCTCGGTGAAACTGCCAGGACTCACCCCTCCTCCGTATCCCGGATAGGCCATGACCAGCGGAGCTGGCGTCCCCGTCTGTGTTCACCCGGCTGCGTGCAAAACGTACTTGCAGGTACAGACGCAGAGGAGACAGAATTGAAGACGCGCCTGCGGAGCCGTGGGAGTCTCTGAGAAGGCCTTCAGGTGAAGTCCAGCCCCGCCCTACTAGGTTCCGATTGGCTGAGTGTCGGAGCCCTCCCCCTTCTGGAAGCTAATCCCACCCATCTCGTCTCTGATTGGCTTCACTCACCCAGCTTTCTCCTGCTCATCGCCTATTAGCTCGCTTAGACCTCCAGCTCTCCACTAAACCGCGAAGAAGGGTGAGGCGGTATCTTCCACTCTCTTCGGAAAAGTTCTCCAGACCTAAGTTTCTTTTCTCTTTAGGGACTCCATATCGGGCATGACTTACCCTGCTCTCTCACTTTTTTGAGCTAGACTTCCAAATACACATCTATGAATTTCAAAACTTTCAGAGTTACGTTTATTTTTGAATAGCATTGCTGTAACAGTCCAAATATTGAAACCTTTAGCTCTGCCCCCAAGGGAGTGCTTCTAAGCTAAATAGACTTGATGTCAGACTTTACCAAAAGGTTATCTGTAGGTTTTTAGTAGATAAACAGTAATTAGAGTTGCCAGATTGGGGGGGGGCGGGAATACAGGATGACCAGTTAAAGTTCACTTGCAAGTTAATAATGAAATATTATAAATATGTCTCAAGTATTGCATAAGACGTGCACTTTATGCTAAAAATATATATACGCTGATAATTTACAGGATGTCCTATGTATTATCCTGTATATTTTCTGGCAACCCTATTAATGACTCAATTTAGAGGAACAGCTTGGTTTTTTATCACTCGACAAAAAGGATAAATGCTCAAATATTTGGTTTATTAAGTATAGTAATCGACAGTTCTCTTCTTTGGCACTCAAGTGAATTTTGTAGCTCCAGCTTTAATAGGACAGGACACACACACAATACAGGACAGCTGTAGTTTTAGCTTAAGAAACAAAAAGATACCATTTTGAGTTACTTCTGAAAAAGACACCACTAAAACGTATTTTAAAAATAAGAATATGGGGGGAAGTGTTAATTATTAGCAGAGGAAACGAACCTTGCAAAGCTGAGGAACTATTGCTCAGCTACACTACCAAGGAGGAACAAGCTGAACCTTGTGAAACCTAATTTTATAGGAAGAGGCAGAGAAAGGAAGATTGCTAAGGTACAAGACACTCTTGAGAAAGTCTTAGTTCTTCTAACACACACACAAAAATACTTTAGCCAGTAAGATTAAATTATTGGCATAAGTATAGAGGGGCTGGCAAAACTTGTTAAGCAGAAAGAACATATGACTCATTAAAGTGTCAAGTGATAAAACAGTACAAAGCAAAACAAACTATTACAAAGTTTTATTCTAGTTCAGGGGTGTCAAACTCATTTTCACTGGGGGCCACATCAGCCTTGCTGTTACCTTCAAAGGGCCGAATGTAATTTTAGGACTGTGTAAATGTAAGTACTCCTTAACAGTTAAGGGAGAGTTGGGCACTGCTGCCAGGTAGAAATGAGGTGCCGGCTGAACAAAACAAGGTAGAGGGCTGGATTTGGCCCTCAGGCCTTATGTTTGCCACCTATGTTCTAGTTGATTAACTATATGTTCAAAGACTCAGAAAGCATGGAGGGTTTTACATTTACAATGTAAAACTCTGGTCAGAATTTTTCTACACCTTCTTTATATGACAATAGCCTTACTGATGCATTTTATCTATATATGTTGCAAGCCAAGTCTCCATGGCTCTATTGCATTTTTTACACATTATAGTTTCCAGGATAGGCATAGTATTTCCTTTGAGGCTAGAGAGATTTGCTGCAGGATAACAAAGATCGTCTCTCACCCAGGGTTAAAATTTTGGATAGGTTTATTATCAGGACTTTCCTAAGCTTGAAATTCCTCCATTCTAATATAAACCCACTGCTTGTGCAGCACCCACCTTCGAGTTCCATTTGGCCTTGTAGAACTTGGAAGGAAGAGGAATTTGAGTCTGAAATTCATGCTTTCTGTTGTGCTGTGAATAATAAAGTCCTTTGTCTCTAACAGAGAATTCTCGTGGCTTCTGTCAACTTCCATGAAACTGTGGCAGTCTACTTGTTAGACTGCAAGTAGGATAACATAGCAGATCCTTCATAGTTCTTGGCAATGTGTCTCTTTCTTAGGGAAAAAAGGTACCCAGAGAAGTTCCTATTGAATGCTAGCAGAATATGCCACCCCAAAACATGCCACTTTCACATAAGGATTTTTTTTACCTTATTTTGCCATGTATTATGTGCACTTTTTTGCCCAAGTTTTTTAGGGGAAAATAACGTGTGCATTATACATGGGTAGTACTAATTCCATATTGATATAACTGGTTTTTAACTCTTTTATTTATACTTATGTTAAAAGTGTAACTCTAGAAAGCAAAAATGATATCTGTATGCAAAATAATAACCCGGAATATGATCATCAGTTTTTTTTTGTTCGTTTGTTTTTAAAGATTTTATTTATTTATTTTTAGAGAGGGAAGGGAAGGAGAAAGAGAGAGAGAAAGAAACATCAATGTGCGGTTGCTGGGGGCCGTGACCTGCAACCCAGGCATGTGCCCTGACTGGGAATCGAACCTGCAACACATTGGTTCACAGCCTGCGCTCAATCCACTGAGCTATGCCAGTGAGGGCTGATCATCAATTTTGTGTCTAATTATCACTTAGTTAAAAATTGCATTAAAAACTTGAAACAAAAGATTTTTTTCCCTGAAGTTTTGGCCAAAAACGTGGGTATACATTAGACATGGGAGCACATTATACACAGCAAAATATGGGGTAATTAAAGGCAATTGAGAAGAAATAAGAAAAGCTCGCTGCTCTCCCTCTATTTGCCTAGAAGTAGGACATAAATTTACAAAGTGTCTCTCTTCATACTCTAAGACAACATTAGAAATTAAGAAAGCAGGAATTTAAATCTACATGACAAATCTTGCACTTGTTTATTCTGCTTTCCTGGCAACTTCCTTATAGCCTGTCTTCCCCAAGCCTGTTTTTCTTTTCTCTTTAGCTGAAGATGATATTAAAGCTGAAGTTCTAAACCACCTCTGAGAGTTACTCATTTTCCCCTGGCTATCTGCAATGTATACATGAGGATACATATCAATAAAGTTCTGAGGTTTTTCTTTCGTTAATCTGTCTTTATTACAGAGATCTCAACCCAGAACTCAGGAGAGTAAAGGGGAAATTATTTTACTTCCCGTACACTGCTATATAAGATACAGAGAGAACTTTGAACACTGTAGTCTAAGTATCTAACTAATTTTAGTATTTCAAGTTATAAATTTTCTAGCATAGGAATTTAAAACTTCAAATAAATGTATAAAGAGTTTTTACAAAATATTAGTAATGAATATTTGCTTACATGATTCAGTTAGTATTGTATGAACAGTATCATTTTATGAAAATGTAATGTATAAAAATAATTTTAAGTTATACATTTTTCTTTTCAGAAAACACTCCATTATTATATAAAAATAATTATTTATAGAGTGAATACTTAGTATGTGTCTCGTGAGGTGTTATTTTCAAAACAATTCCATCTAATATGATAAATACTATTATTATCTCCATTGTATATATATATGAAAAGTAAGATCAAGATTTGTATATCTTGCCCTTAGTTGTATAGTCAACAGCAAAACTGAGATTAGAGCTAAGGAAGTTTGGCTGAAAAATGTGTCTCTTAAATAAAGCATTTCCCCTTCCCTCACTAGCCCTACCATATTATTTCAAAATACAATAAAAATCATTTACACTATAAGAAGAAAGGTTGTAAAGAGTAGAAGAGTAGTACACCAACAGCTAGAGAAATAGATGGGAAAATGCATGGTTTTGACTAAGGTTAGCCAATGTAATTTTCTCTTACAAAAGTTACATGCTTTCTGGTCAATACAAAGTCTTTCATGATTATATCTACCTATGGTATATCTTTCAGTTCTTGATGGTCTTTGGTCTTGTCGTAAGTTTAGATATTTGATTAACCAGTACATTTATCAGTATTATATAAACATTGATGTAACTATGGTTCTCTTTCCTATCTGTTGCCACCCTTTATATGAATTTTGCCCTATATGAATTTTCTCCCTCTTCTTCTCTTTACAGGTGGGGAAACAGGGACATGAGAGACAAGAGAAAAAAATGTACTGCTCCTCAGCAAATGTCAGTTTCAGAGCCACAGCCCACCTACTCATAGAAATCATTTATATGCCAAATACTATAATGAGATACAACTATAACCAGCTAATGAAAAACAACATTCATGGAGCTTATTTTATAACACTAAGAAATTTTACCTAGATCAACTAATTTATTTATTCAACAAATATCTATTGAACATCTGCAATGTAGCGCTAGTTTAGTGAGGGAAAAATCCACCAGTGGGCTTGGGGGGATGTCCTTGCCCTAGTGGAGCTTATATTCCAGCAGAAACAGCAAATAATATTAAGTGAAGATAATGAATGAGTAAATTATATAATATGTTAGAAGATGATAAACACTATGGAATGAAAGGAAATTGAAAGCAGGAGTAGAGCTCGAGAAGCAACAGAGTAAGCTGCAGTGCTAAAAGGATGCTCAAAGTAGCCTCCTTAAGAAGGTTGGGTTTGAACAAAGACTTAAAGGACATGAACGGCTTAGACTTGTATTTATTACACCTGTGGGAAAGAACGCTATCGGCAGAACTAGAGCTATAGTCCTGGGGCAGAAGGCTGCTGACCTGTTTAAAGAACTGAAGTAAAGGTCAGTGCAGCTGATATGGATTGAGCCAGAGGGAAGGCCCTAAGAGTAGTTTCAGAGCAGCAGCATTGGGGCAGATCAAGTAGGGCCTTTAGGGACCATTGTAAGGACCTTCTTTTATACACTGGGTGACATAAGAAGACACTTAAGGGTTAGGGCCTTAGTGAGACACAATATAACTTATTTTTAAAGTATCACTCAGCTCTGTTGACAACAGACTGAAGGAGTTAGTGTAGAGGCAAGGAGACATTTTAGCAATCTGTGGTAATTTAGAAATGACTGTGACTTATAGGGAACCCTTTCACATAGCATGGAAATATAACTCAGCCTCC